TTGGGATGGGAGTGTCAGAGACAGTGCGATTGGCACAGGACAGAGCGGAGTTTAGGGCTGTTGTACATAGGGTCGCTATGAGTCGTAGGCGACTCGACAGCACATAACAACAACAACAACATATCCAGTGGGCCAAGGTGTGTGTCGTAGCAGCAGCAGGGCTCAGTGCAGACAGGCCACAGTGGCATCCGTGAAGACAAAGCAATGAAATGTAGAAAGAGCTGGAGTCAGAAAATCAAAAGGGAAAACTTGCTCAGTATTTCTCAAGCTGAAAGACTTAAAGAAGAAATTCAACCCTCAAGTTGTAGTACTTAAAGGTGCTATAGGGAAAATACTGAATGATTAAAATATTAAAAGCACCTAAAGAAGACGGACGAAATATAGCGTCACTGTACCAAAAGTAATTGATGTAGAATCACCTTAAAAAGTAGAATATGATCAAGAACCAGTGGTAACAGGATGTGCAAGCTACTCTGAAGGAATTGGCAAAATATAAAGTCCCAGAAATTGATGGAATATCAATTAACCTAATTCAATAATCAGATGCATCCCTAGATATGCTCACCAGGTTGTGCCAAGATATCTGGAGGATGGCTACCTGGTCAACTAACTGGAAGAGATCCATATTTGTTCTCATTCCCAAAACAGGTGATCCAACAGAATGTTTGGATCAAACAAATTATCAAACAATATCAGTACTTTTACATGCAAGCAAAATATTGCTGAAGATTCCCCAAAACCTATTAGAACAGTACATCTACAGAGAACTTTCAGAAATAAAAGAAAGGGTTAGAAGAGGCTGTGGTACTAGGGATGTAACTAATGTCACATAGTTCTTGGTTGAATATAGAATGTACTAGAAGACTGTTTATTTGTGTTTTATCGACTATACAAAGGCATTTGACTGTGTGGATCATATGAACTTGTGGCTAACATTGAAAAGAATGAAAGTCCCAGAATACTTGATGGTACTTTTGTGACACCTATACCTAGATCAAGAAGCTGTTGTCTGAACAGATCAAAGGAATACTGCATGGCTCAGAAACAAGAAAGGAGTGTGTCAGGGATGTATCCTTTTCCATATATTTTCAATCAATATGCTGAACAGATTATTTGTGAGGCTGAACTTTATGCAGAAGAACGTGACAACAAGATTGGAGGAATACTCATAAACAACCTGCCTTAAGCAGATGACACAACTTGAGTCACTGAAACTGAAAAGGACTTGAGGCAGGAGTTCAAGGACTGCAGCCTTCAATATGAATTACATCTTAACATCAAGAAAACAAAATTCCTCCTCATTGGTAGCATCATGATAGATGGAGCAAAGATTAAAGCTGTTAACAATTTCATCTTGCTTGAATTCACAATCAATACCCTTGGCACCAGTAGTCAGGAAATCAAAAGACACGTTGCATTGGGAAAATCTGCTGTTAAGGACCTCTCCAGAGTGCTAAAAACGATGTCAGTATAATGAAAGGTTCCTCTGATCCAAGCAATTGCCTCAATTGCTTTCTATGAATCTGAAAGCTGAATAATGACTAAGGTTAACAGAAGAAGAATTGATGCCTTTGACTTGTGGTGGTGGAGAAGAGTATTGAATAAATCAATACTCTTGGTCTGCCAAGAGAATAAACCGTTCTATCCTGGAGAGAGTGAAACCAGGTTACTTCTTGGAGGCAAGGATTTTGAAACTCTATCTCACGCACTTTGGGTATATTGTTAGGAGAGGCCAGTCCTTGGAGAAAGACATCATACTTAGAAGGATAGAAGGTCAGCCTAGCAGGAAAGAAAGGCCCTGGATGAGATGGATTGACATGGTGACTGTGCCAATGGATCAGCTGTGTCAGAAACGGTGAAGCTGGCTCAGGGTAGGGCAAAGTTCAGAGCCATTGCTCATGAGGTCAGTGTGAGTCATAGTTGGCTCAACAGCACACAACAATGGCAAGAGTTGTTATTTCTAAATATGATTGTTAATTTTCATATCCTTCCTCTCTCCCTATTTTTTTCTCTTCCTTCCTTTCACTTAACTACACTTTTTTCCTCCATTCTAAATTTGTTTTGCATTAATATAGTGACTACAACAATGATCCTAAACACAGCAGAGTTTGTGAGGAAGGTGCAGAATTGGGCAACATTTTGATCTGTTGTATGCAGGGTGACTATGAGTTGGTTTTTTGTTTTTGGTTTTTTTTTATGAGTTGGTTTTGATTTAACAAAATTGCTTTGCAACAAAATGTTACTATTATTCTACTCTTTCGAGGATCTCTGTGGAATATGAATTCTATTTTTCTGGAGAGAGAAGGGGAGAGAGAGCACGGAACACTTTGGTGGCTTAGTGGTTAAGGAATGTGCTGCCAATACAAAAAAAGTATGTGGTTAGAATTCACCAGCTGCTAGATGTGATAATGATGGACAATCAACTCCCATGTGATTTGCTGTCTCTGAAAACTGGTTGGAGAGTCAGGGTTTGTTTTTGTTCAAACTATACTGTACACATGTATATACACATACATAGTTAGAGAGTTGTATGCCAAGCCAAAGGCAGGTGGTTCAGATCCATTAACTGCTCCAAAAGAGAAAGAAGAGCAGTCTCCTCCCATGCGATTTACAAGATCTGAAAACTCACTGGATGGTCGGTTATGAGTTGGTTTCAACTCAATGGCAATGAAAAACAGCAACCACATAATACACCCATAATATACAGATATAAATTTATGTAAGCCTGATACACACACACACACACTCACACCACGTGTGAAGCATTCTTTCACTGAAATAAAACATGAAATTCCTACTTTGCCACTTAAATTCCTATGACTCCAGTGCCTGGGACAGTTCCAGGTTTTGTGGAATCTGAAGTTCAGACAATTTGGGAAGAAGCCTTCTTAAATCCGGAGTCAGCAGACTTAACTGATTACAGTTGAGTTTTATATTTTTGTGTTGGTTTTTTTTGTACTTTAGCAAATTTTGCAAAATCACATAACCATGGGAACACACACTCCTGGGATCTTAGAAGAGAGAATTCTATATACATGAGGGTTCTAGGCTTATGCTTTATGTATCATCACAGTAAATCCACTCTTGCCATGTTCACCTTGGCCCAGTCCAAAATTATTTGCAGCATATGACTCAACCCTAAACTGATAATTTTCATAACCCCTGCCTCATAGAGTTGCCGGAAGACCTACTGGTGTCACTGTTAAACACCTGGTTGCTAAAGGAAAGGTGAGCAATTCAAACTCACTGGAGATTTTTAGGAGGAAAACACCCCAAATACTCTGATGGTACAAATTCGTCCCTGCAAAAAATTTAGCCTAGGAATCGCTTTGGGGTAGTTCTCTGTCATACAGGGTTGGTGTGGTCAGAACTGACTCATTGGCATACAACAACATCAGAAGGGGAATATCAGGCAATTCTCACAAAACCACACAATAGGAAATCCATATTTCAGTTGGTAGACTTCTTCCTCAATATGTAGGCATTTGCAGAACAAATAATTAAGAGGCAGTTTTCAGAAATGGCCTCATTGTTCAATATGCAGACACAGCACTTCATTTTAAAAGCAGTAAAATGAAAACCCACATTTTCCTTTGGATTTGAATTTGGAAGAACTCAACCACAAAAGACATCCTTGGAGAAAAGAGAAAACAAAACAAAACAAAAACAAAAAAAAACCCAACCCAAATTGTATAGCAAAAGATGCTCTGCTTTCCAGAATGTGTAAGGCCAAAGTGACGCACAAGCTAAAACCCGGGACCAAGTCCAGGCCCATAACCTTGACATTTGGCTTTACTGCCACCCACAAACTCAGCACAGACTGACGTAAAGACCTTGTGCACTTCCCCTGTGATAAGATAGATGAAAACACCCAGAGCCCATTATCCTACTGTTCAGGCCTAATTTTAAACACCCCCAAAGGAGCTCTCCCTCATCTTACCCAGCACAATCCTTTTCATCTTTAATATTTTTTCATTTGACCTATGTAAACCCAAGCATCTGCTTGGAGGAGCTGCTTGTCATATTTTTCAACATATACTCACAATGTTCATAGCGTTAATGTTAACCTTCTTTTCAAATAGCTTCTCCATGAGATCCAAATTATTGCTTTTAGCAGCATTCTGAAAGCCTCTCTCATTTGGCAACACTGAAAGCAAGCAAGCAAGCATGACTGAGGGAATTTAAGGGAGCTGGGGAGATATCAAATCTCATGTGGCAAACGCTTTCCACATTCTGCAACTAAGGGGACAGGAAGTTTGCTTCAATATGTTATAAAGCTGGAGTATCAGGATTCCACTTTCTCCTAGCCCTGTGTTTTTAGGCTCTCAAAAATTGTTCCTGGCCCCACATAAAATGTGCCTGAGGACCACCCTGAAGTTAGCAATGTAGTTTCAGGCTCTTGGAGGTGAGGGGGTAAGCATGGGTATCTCAAGGAGTGTTTGTAAAAAGAATTTGTACAAGATTAACCAGGAAGGAGTCTTTAAGTTCCATTTGAGTTTACACAGATAAAACCATTGTCCAAAGACCTCTGAACTGATTCCAGGCCTGTAGGAATAAAACCTTAAAGTTCAGTTTGCCATAAAAACACACTCAAAAGCTAAAAGGGATGAAAGTGTTTTAATCTAATTTACATTATGAGTGCTGTTATATACTGCCTAGTTGGAACTGACTCATAGCTGATCTGCCACAGGGTTTTCAGAGGCAGTGAATCTCGTGGAATGAGACTGCCCATTTTTATCCCATATTTATACTAAGGGAGGTAAAAATAGTTCGTACGATATTGGTTTCATTGAGACGTCATAACAAAATGTCACAAACTGGGTGGCTTCTAAGAACTTAATGTATTGTCTCACAGTCCTAAGAGTGAAAGGCTGAACTCAGGATGTTGGAAGAACCATGATCTCTCAACCTGCCCTAGGGAAAAATTCTTCCTCATCTTTTCTGACTTCTGGTAGACGCCTATCTTTGTTATGCCTTGGTTGGTAGAAGTAAGTTTAAAAGGCCATCTTTCTCTGGTGTGTCTTTCTGTATCTTGTTCTTCTTTCCTAAGGACAGCACTCATACTGGATTATAAATTATGGCCCACTCTACTCCAGGATGACTTCATACACATGACTTATGTCTTCTAAAACCCTATTTCTAAACAATACCATGTTCCCAAGTAGCAGTGGTTAGGACAAAGTAAATTTTAGGGAGGACACAATTCAGTCATTTGCATATGAATGTAAGCACCATATAGCAAACACATGCATATTCAAAGGGAAAATATTAATAAAGAATCTGGGATTTAGTAAGCTTGTTGTGATTGTGTGTTTGCAGATTTTTAATCATGTTGAGGAGCTGATGACCTCCCAATCTCAACAGTTGTTGAGGAATAAAACCAGAATTGAGGCAAAGAAAGTCTCAAAAACAACCAACAAAACACAACAAAAAAAGGTAAGAGAAGTTTGTTAGATGGGTTGTGAGAATGTCCTAAGTTTTTGCCAAAGATTCTTCAGAATGTTGTTAAAGTCAGTAAAAGATCAGGAGTTTCTTCATGGAAAATGTTCTTGTTCATTCTTTTAGTTACCCAGAATGCTTTCTTCCTTTCTACTCCTTTAAAAAAAATTGAGTTCATGGTAGGTTTGCTTTTTAAAAAATCATATTAAATTTTTGTCATGTTGAGTGTTTTTCTCACTCACAGATATAAAAAGTGAGGATTCATGAAACTTTGCCACAATAGAAAAAGGATTCTCATCTTCACAGAGGTCAGGAATCGCTGACATTAGAGAAACAAAAGGTAAGGTCAATCTGGAAAAAAGTATGCCAATAAAAAGATTCACATAGTTCGAAGGGTTCTGGTGCCCGTGTTTGATGCACAAAACTTGGGATTTGTGGAATAATTCTGGGGAGGACCAGGTTAGCATCTAGTTTAGAAAAGTCTCCGTAGGATGACTGGAACAGTACATTGACAGAGAAATACACACAAGGTTTAGAAGAGGCCGTGGCACTAGACATTATCGCCAATATCAGATGGATCTTGGCAGAAAGTAAAGAGTACCAAAGGGATATCTATCTGTGTTTCATTGACTATACAAAAGCATTTGAGTGTGTGGATCACAACAAATTGCAGTTAACCTTGAGAAGAATGAGAATGTGATTGTGCTTATGCAAAATCTATACTTGGACCAAGAAGTATTCCTCAGAAGAAAGCAGGGAAACACTCTATGGTTCAAAATCAGGAAGAGAGTGTATTAGAGTGTGTCCTGTCTCCATACCTTTTCAATCTATATGCAGAACAGATCATCCGGAAGGCTGGGCTTTATGAGGAGGAATGTGGCATCAAGATTGGAGGAAAACTCATGAACAACCTATATCACACAGATGACACAACCTTACTTACTGAAACTGAAGAGGACCTGAAGCGCTTGTTGCAAGAGGTCGAGGACTTTAGTCTTCAATATGGATTGAAACTCAACATTAAGACGACAAAGATTCTCACCACTGGCCAACTGGCAGCACCATGATGGGTGGAGATGAGACTGAGGTTGTTAACAGTTATAGCTTGCTTAGTTCTACAATCAACATTCTTAGCACCAACAGTCAGGAAATTAAAAGAAAATTGCATTAGGTAAATCAGGGACCTTTCTAGAGTAGTGAAAAACAACAGTCTCTGTCTAGAGACTAACATGTGCCTGATCCAAGCCACTGTCTTCGCAATCACCGCATCAGAGAGTTGGACAATAACTAAGGATGACAGAACAAGAATTAATTCCTTCAGGTTGTGGTGTGGGAAAAGAGTCTTGAACATACCATGGATCACCAAGAAAATTAATAGGTCTATGTTGGAGAGGGTGAAACAAAGTTTCTCCTTGGAGACAAGGATTTTGAAGCTCTATCTCACATACTTTGAACATGCGGCCAGGAAGGACTAATCCTTGGAGAAGGACATCATGCTCAAAAGGGTAGAGGAACAGTGCAAGAGAGGAAGACCCTGGATGAGATGGATTACTACAGTAACTAGGGCAATGGGGGTTGGTTTATCAGAGGCAGTGAGACTGGCTCAGGACGGTGCAGGCTTCAGAGCTATTGTACATAGGGTCGCTGTGAGTCACAGGTGACGCAACAGCACAGAACAACAATAACAACAACATTATTATTATTTTACTTTTGTATTTATTGATGAGAATATATACTGGAGTCCATCAGTCTGACCATTTTACATGTTCAGTTCAATGACATTGATTATATTTTAGAAGTTTTGCATTTTTCTCACTCTCCTTCAAGTAATTCTTGTCCCAGTAACAGAACCTCACCTCCCCCTACATTTCCTATCTAAGCTTTGAAGTTGCTTTTAAAATTTGATACAATATTGCTAGATCTTTAAAAGAGCACAATGCTCAAAGCAGACATCCTTTACTAGTTAAACTAAACTATTGTTTGGTTTTAAGAAGCCTACATTGTTGATATCATCAGATGGATCTTGGCTAAAAACAGAAAATACCAGAAAGATGTTTGCTTGTGTTTTACTGACTATACAAAGGCTTTTGATTGTGTAGATCACAACACATTATGGCTAACTTTGAGAATAATAGGAATCCCAGAACACTTAATTGGGCTTACGAGTACCTAGACCAGAAGAAATATTATCTGAAAAGAACAAAGGGAACACAGTTTCGTTTAAAATCAGGAAAGAAGTGTGTCCTTTCTCCAACTCTATTCCATTTGTATGCTGAGCGAATTTGTGGAGAACTGCACTATAGAAAGAATAATGTGACATCAGAATTGGAGACTCAACAACAAATATGACGCAGATAACACAATCTTTCTTGCAGAAACTGAAGACAACTTGTAGTATTTGCTGAAGAAGGTCAAAGGCTATAGCCTTTAATATAGATCTTATCTCAATATTAAGAAAATAAATATCCTCACTACGGGACCAATAGGCAACATCATAAAAAGTAGAGAAAGGATTGAAGCTGTCAAGGATTATTTGCATCTCTAATCCACATCTATGGTGGCAGCAGGCAAGAAATGAAAAGACAAAATTACACCAGGCCAAATTTGCTGTCAAGGAAGGCTTGAAAGTGCTAAAGAGCAGCAATGCACATTTAAAGACTAAGATGTGCCTGATCTAAGCTATGGTATTTTCATATTCATGTGAAAGGTGAACCACAAATAAGGAAGACTGAAGAATCAATGCTTTTGAAATGTGGTGTTGCTGAAGCGTATTGAGTACCCTATGGACTGCCAAAGGAACAAACAAGTCTGTCTTGGAGCATGTGCAATCAGGGTGCTCCTTAAAGCTAAGGATGGTAAAACTTCGTCTCACATATTTTGGCTTGTTGTCAGGAAGAACTGTTATACTCTTGTTGTTGTTGTTGTCGTATACCTTTGAGTGGGAACTGACTCACAGCCGAACCTTCAGTGGGTTTTCAGAGGCAGTAGGAGTGGCATCCACTTCCTAAACGACTTGCCTCCAGAAACTCTATGAACTTGGATAAATGTTGATAGTTGTAGAGGGGCTTCAGACCTTTTGTTCATAGGGTCGCTATGAATCGTGCTCAGCTTGAAGGCAATTAACAACAACAAATCACATGGTAGTTAACTGCCCATCTTTCTCCCACAAAGTAGCGAGTGGATTCAAACTGTGTGTCTTTGGGTTGGCAGTGCAGTTCCTTATCACTAGGCCAGCAGAGGTCCCTGACAGGAGGAACTGTTGTTGTGTATCATCACGTCAGAACAGACCCATAGCTGCCCTTCCAGTGGATTTTCAGAGGCATTAACTAACTAGGCTTTCAGAAATTTAAATCAGAAGACACATTGTCTCTTTTGATAACACTCTTACAATCATAATATTACCTAGAGATTTTTTTGTTGTTGTTGTTTTGGGGTTTTTTTTTAATGAAAGGATATAGAAATGAGACAAATTCTGATCCCAAAATATAAACTTGAAATAGTTAACTTAGCTTTCAAATAGTTAACTTGGCTTTCAAATAGTTAACTTGGCTTTCACTTTGGTGTATTGGTTCCTGGATACCTTCGAGTGGACTACACCTGAGTATAGCCCTATGAACAACAGATCTGGACCTTGGCCTGTCCAGGGCCATCCTCCTCCTCTCAGGAATGCTGCAGCCCATGACTGCAGTCACTGGGTCACTCCATAGT